AGATAAAAACATAGCACAAGCGTAGGTGTCGTTAAGCGTAAGCTCAAATATCCTTTTTCCAGTGTTGATAAAAAAATTTTACTACCTAGATTTTCAGGTCGGTCCTTCGACGCAGGCAAGTTTCCACGGCCATGCCGAGCGGTCCTTGGAGACTGAGAAGGTGAATTCGTTTGTTAGGACATCGTTTCAGCAGACAGGGCTATACGTATATGATTTCGACGCAATCAGCATCACGCGCTCTTCATTGATTAGGGAGAAACTGAACGCTTACAATTTTCACGGGAAATCTATTTAGTCGAAATTGAGGTCCCAAAAATTGATGCGCAGTGAACTGCTCTGAGCATATCATTACATTGACGATAATGATGGCATTGACGATAGTGAGGCACTGCTGCGCGTCTCACTTTGCGCACCTCGTTGGACATTGAGACGCGTTGCGCGTCTCACCCTTGTCATCCCTTTTTCTAGCGCATGCGCAGCTTTCTTCCCAATTTGTTTGTCTCTCCTTCTATGGATTACAACATAACTGTAAACGACATGGTCACGGTATGGTCAAATATGCTCCAGTTTAGCAGAAGTTTTTCAAGACAATTGGCAGCCCGGTTCATACCTCGTTTTCTTCCTATTCTTAGGAGCATATCAAAAAGAGTATGTTCAAAACTGCTGAGCTATGGTAGGTACACCATTGAAAGCTGAGTTGGGATGAAATGGTGCCCCGGTAGCGTAACTGGTAGCGCACTTGCCCGGAAAGCGAGAGGTGCGGGTTCTAGTCCCGCCTGGGGCGAAAGTTTTGTTCACAACCCAGCATTCTTGTGAAACATTCGCAAGGCGAACTGCGGCCAAAAACAGCAGTTAACAAACAAAAACTAGTCAAAAAAAAGAGTAGTAGAAGGTAATCCAAATCAAAAAGAGAGAAAGATATATGTTTCACTCGGCACAACCACATCAAAAGTACATGGCGTCCATTACAGAGGAAAGGACAAAACTTCCTTTTTTTAATACTGTTCTGAAACCTTGACTGGAATCGTAATAACGGGAAGCCTGAAAAGTGCCCTAGCATTTTTCCACTCATGAGGTTAAAAAGGAGCGCTGGGTACTACGGTAGCGCTGCAAACCACACAACACAAGTGACGACGGCTTTCACAAAATGTAAATGTTTTTGGCCAATGAAATGATTATCCAGTTACAGCTGAATTCTGTCAGTTGTCACTAATTACAATCTATCATTTAACAACTATCAACTATCACTATGAATCACTAGTCACCAGATCTACCTCGACGCACATTTGGTTCTCGGGGTAGAATGTATGATAGGGTGAAGGTTGTATACTGCTAGGGTCACTTACCATTACGAGCAGATCCCGATTATCGATCCCAGAAGGATGAAACCCTCGGCTGGCCATCAACGGCGTGCGACAGAGGCATGATTCCCGAGCAGTGCGGGCGTTAAGCGCCACCTGGTACTGCACCTTTTCCCATGCGGAAGTATTAGAGAGAGAATATTTACAGCTCTTGAATACTGAAAATGCACAAAAGTTCCTATGGGTCGAAACTTGAATGGGATGTCCATCAATAGTTCGTACAAAGATGCCGCGATTTTCCATGCAAAACCATAGGCCGATGTCAGACTTTGCAAATCAAGCGATTCGCTAGTGTCCGATGTCGCGAAACGGTACCAGCCTATAAGCGATCCACTGGCCCCGACGCGATCGCGGACGCTAGGGAATCGCTCGATTCGCAAAGTCTGGCATCAGCCGTGTACCGTTCCTTATCTTGTGGTGTATAAGACCAGCAAGAAGCACGCATCGAGCAGACATGAAGCTTCTGCTATCCCTGTGATGTGCCTCTTCATCATAGATGTGGAATTACGCCTTTCCACTGGGTATAAATATGTAAATGATTACATTAATTCGTCAGCTTAAAACTGTGTTTCCTAGCATTTCTGCGCAGGGAAGCAGCAAAGCCCACCTTACTCGAAGATTTCTTTCATCGGAAAACATAAAAGCTTCCATATTATAGGAGAGGAAGATGTCATCAGTTTTGCGTGGGTGGAAGGTGCCAGCAGCGATGTCCTTATTGAGCTACTGCTATTGCGAACTCTCGTAAATTATGCGAGAAAGTAAAGATTTCATTGAAAGGATCCTTTTGTGCTTACGTTTTACATACCAGACAAAGAATCGCATGATTTTCGAAAAGAATTAATCAGGGCTCACGTACGGAAGGGCAATAAATACGTTAGACGCTACACATCGCTTTTGATTGCTGTTTTTTTGCAGTTCGCCATTAAGTTATCACAAAAAAGTTACGGGTGAAACTTTTCGCCCTAGGCGTTAATTCATCCCACACGCACATCCCGGGCAGATGTGCAACCGATTACACCACCAGGGCACCGGTAAACGGGCTCTATAGCTTTTGCCCAGGTGACAACAGTTGCGAAATCCTCGAGATGGCTCTGTCTGCGTGGCAAGAGCAGGGCGAAATCGTGTCGAGTATGTGGTCGCAGAAGTACGACCCCCTCCCTGAAATCGAGGTCTTGGACCTCCCCCTTCAAACAGAGCACGCGCAATTAAGTCAAGTCAATTAAAAAAATTCATGCAAAATAATATTGTAAACGCCTTCTCTTGTCATCTATCTTTGTGTATGTGGGTGAAATACAGGGTGGTCCAAAATTATGAGGACCGCGTGCTGCGCGCGCAGTCATATCCACTTTTTTCCGTATCGCTCCATTTTCATCTCGTTTTCTGTGCACTATGTGAGAGGGTACATTGTCTTCTTCCTAATGAAACCAAGTTTCATGAAGTTCTCAAAACTAGTGAAATAACTACTTCACTTTAAGTCAGTCCTCAAATTGAACTCTCTAGGTGGGCTCTGGCACGTTACATCTAGCAGCCAGTCTAACGCGTTGATGCAGAGAAGCCATATGAGCAACATGGTCAACTCTTCGAATAGTAAGGATGTGGAGGTGAGAGGAGGGGACTAGAAACTTAAGTTAGCGTGGTGTGATGATATAAGTTATCAGACGCAGGAACTAGGTCTGTGCGCGTTGTTTGTCGACTTTCGTACACCCAAAATGAAAAAAAATTGATGTGAAAACCCAGCCAGACACTCTAAAGACTCCACATCTGTAGTGGATAGAAAGCCACACGAGTAGTCTACTTGGGACTTCTTACAGGACCGAGCACCCAAGAATAAAGCAAAAATTCCTCCGAAAAGCGTGGATTTCAGAGTTCGGGCATTTCGAGAACATCAACCTATAGCTCATAGATCCTGGTGTTTCACACCATGGATGCAAGCGCAAATAAATGCCCCACAAACTTTGATTCCCTGAAGAAGGCAGAGCAGAAGGCCTGGAAACATTTGGACACGCCTCAGTTGCGTGCCAGCGCACGCGCGCCATCCCCTTCATCTGAAGGCTCGTGTGAACGGGGCAGGTGGCAAGATCTCAATTCTATTTATTGGGTTGTCTCATAATTCCTGTCGCAATTTCGACACTTTTGTTTATTCAAGTTTTATCTCTTCTGGGAAACAACTGACTAATAGCATAACCACCATCATGGTCACTGATATGCGTGCATTTACTAGTGGGCGTTTGGAAGCTTCCAGCCCAGAATGAAGGAAACTGGGGTTGAAGAATTTGGAGAAGTCGTTTTTGGGGTGACCGCAATCTTTAACTTTCTTCTCTGGCAGATGCTTATTCAAAGCGCAGGGGAGGCGATAGTCCGATAGAGCGATGCCAATGCTATATGGTGGATGAGGTATCGTGGCCCTGGCTATCTCCCCCACAACGTGGTGAGTTGGCATTGCAATGTGAGGTCTGGTGTACATTCGGAGGAAGGAGGATCTGAGACGTTTCTGACGATTCTCTCGCAACCCCAAAGCCAGCCAAGAGGGCTATTCCGCGCTGACTTTAGCAATGCTTGTCTTCATACATTGAAGTGGTTCCCAAACCAGGCCACCTAGCGAATCCAATAAAACGAGATCGATATTCTCAGAAAACGGAGTTCGGGCTTTGGTTGAGCTGGTGCTTCCTGGCTGCGAGGCAGCCATAAGACGTGCCGCATGTTGTTGTCGCAGTGGACTCATGACTCATTTCCACCGGTGACCGATTAGGGAAGACTCTGCTTTTGCCATCCAAGAATGGGTTTTCCCCAGGTGATCAGGCGTGCTTCCCGCTCATGGTCGGCCGGACCATAAGGTTTCCATCAAAACTTCACTCTGCAGCAGTCCTTGCCATACTGATGGCCAGTGCTGGTGCATCGGCTGCGCTCAGGTATCTGCTACAATACCTCTTAGTGCTTTCTGTTCAACAAGGCATTGGCACGGTGCGGACCAAAATAAAGGGACACAATTGTGTGTATCTTTAAGCTACTTGAGTTGCTCACCCTCGCTGCGCCTTCATCAAAAATGACCGCAGGCCCAGTATGAGGTTGAAGTTCATAGCTCGTTTCGTCTTTGCCGTTGCGATTGGTCCACTAGCTCAGTACCCTATCAGTAGCAGAGACTGAGTCAAACACAGCGCTGATCTTCTCTGTTGTCCTCCTTGCTACAGAGTTCATTTGAGGATCGTAAAGCATAATCATTCTTTGCAGTCACTACCTATTTTTATTACTAGTTGA